TCATCAGCCGCATGATCATCAGCATCGACACCATCCATAATCTGCATCATCAGACATCATCATCATGAGCACCAGCATAAGCATTCAGCCATCATCATTCACCAATTCAGCATCATCACCATAATACCATCATCATCATTCATACTCATACTCAATACTCATACTCATATATACTCATACTCATACTCATTACTCATACTCAGTACTCATTACCATACTCATACTCATACTCATATATACTCATAAGGCATACTCTTCTCCATACTCATATCATACTCTATTAAATCATACTCATACACATTATCATCATCCTCATCATCATCATCATATTCAAGCTCATCATCATGATCATCATCTCATCATACCCCCCATCTTCATCATCATCATCGTCAATCATTCATCATCATCGTCATCGTCATCGTCATCGTCATCGTCATCGTCCATCGTCATCATATCCTCATCATCATCATCATCATTCTATCACAAGCAGCGCAAGCAGCGCCAGCGCCTCCTCGCATCATCATCCGCTTCATCATACGCATTTGTTTCCTCGTCCTCCTCTCCTCCTCCTTTTCATCTTCGCCTCCGCCTCCGCCTCCCTTCCTCCTGGCACATTGGCTGCGATCCTCCGCCTCCTCCTCTCTCCTCCTCATCCTCCTCCTCTTCCTGACTCCTCCTCCTCCTCCCTCCGCCTCATCCTCCTCTCGTCCTCCTCTCTCCTCTCCTCTCCTCCACTCATCCTCTCCTAATTCCTCCTATCCTTCTCCTCCTCGCCATTCCTCCTCCCCTCCTTCCCCTCCTCTCCCTCCTCCTCCTCCTCCTCCTCCTCCTCCTCTCCTCCTATCCTCCTCCCTCCTCCTACCCTCTTTTTTTTTCCCCTCCTCCTCCTCCTCTCTCCTCCTCCTCCTCCTGCTCCTGCTCCTTGCTCTTGTACTCTCCTCCTTCTCTTGCCTACGTATCCTCCTCCTCCTCCTCCTCCACCCCCTCCCCCTCCTCCTCCTCCTCCGCCTCCTCCTCGTCCTTCACCTCCTCCTCTTTCTCCTCCTCCTGCTCTTCTGATCAATCCTCCAGCATTCGCCGCATGGGGTATGACGTCTTGTTCAGCTTTTTATTCCACTGCATGCTTCTCCACTTCCCTGATGAGTGCAACTCGTCTGGGCACCGTTTCTAGATGGGCTGGAGTTGTTACACGAAGGGTCCAACATGAGATAGGCGTCGTGGCAGGTGTGGTTGCAAAACATGTGTGGTGCAAGGGAGGGAGGGAGGGAGGGAGGGAGGGAGGGAGGGAGGAGGGATGAGGGAGGAGGAGGATGAGGGGAGGAGGAGGAGGAAGGAGGAGAAGAGGAGGTGGGGGGAGGAGGAGGCGGAGGAGGCGGCGGAAGGCGGCGGAGGCGTGCGGAGGCGGAGGAGGCGGAGGAGGCGGAGGAGGCGAGGAGGCGGAGGATGCGGGAGGATGCCAGAGGAGGCGGAGGAGCGGAGGAGGCGGAGGAGGAAGGGAGGAGGAGGAGGAGGAGGAGGGAGGTAATAGGAGGAGGAGGAGGAGGAGGAGGTGGAGGAGGAGTGAGGGAGTAGGAGAGAAGAAGAGGAGGCGGAGGCGCGCAGAGGAGGAGGAGGCGGAGGCGGAGGCGGAGGCGGAGGCGGAGGCGGGGGGGGCGGAGGCGGTAGGCGGAGCGGAGGCGGTGTGAGGAGGGGAGGAGGAGGAGGGAGGAGGAGGAGGAGGAGGAGGATGCGGAGGAGGAAGAGGAGGAAGAGGAGGAGGAGGAGGAGGAGGAGGATGAGGAGGAAGAGGATGAGGAAGAGGATGAGGAGGATGAGGAGGATGCGGATGCGGATGCGGAGGCGGAGGCGGAGGCGGAGGCGGAGGCGCAGGCGGAGGATGAGTATGAGGAGGAGGAGGAGGACGATGTCTACGAATAATAAGACTACGAACACTGAGAACAAGACTAGTAATAACGAAGGCATACTAATACTCATACGAAACAGAAGACGATTACACATACTAATACGAATAAGAAGAATAATACTAATACGAAGACGACTAGGACGAACCACAATAATCATACACCTAATACAACCAATAATAATAACACTAACACTGCTAATACCAAAACTAACACTAGTACTACTACTACTACTACTACTAATAATAATAATACTAATAATAATACTAATGCTAGTAGCACTACTGTTACTACTACTACTACTACTACTACTAATAATAATACTAATCGTAATACTATCACTAACACTAGTACTACGATTACTACTAACACTACCAATGCTAATAACGCTATGAATAAATAATAATATCAATACTATTAGTAATACGAACAAGAATAATAATAACACGCATACTAGTAATACTGATACTAATAATAAAAAGGCAGAAGACAATTAGGAGGATGATGATGAGGATGATGAGGAGTAGGCAGATGATGACGAGGAGGATGCGGATGCGGGCGGAGGAGGAGGATGCGGGCGGAGGAGGAGGAGGGGGATG